GGATAGTGAATCTTATAGATAAGTTTCAGGATAATTGACATCTTAACAATATTGTTTCCTGATCCATGAACACGGTGTATATCTTCATTTATTTAGGTCTTCTTCAATTTCTTTCAAAAATAGTTTATAGCTTTCACTGTATAAGTCTAGCACATATTTTGTTAAATTTATCTGTGCTTTTATGTTGTAAATAGTATTATTTTCTTAACCTGAAGTTTTGTTTTTTGTTAGTATATAGAAATGCAACTGACATATGCATATAGAAAACTCACTTATTAGTTCTAATAGCTTTTTGTATATTCCTTTGGATTTTCTAAGTATGTAGACATGTCTTTTGTAAATATAGACATTTTTATATTTTCCTTCTCAGTCTATCTGAATTTTATTTTTGTCTTATTCTACTGGCTAGGACTTCCAGTGCAATATTAAATAAAAGTGTTGACAGTGGACATCCTTCTCTTCTTCCTGATTTATAGAGGAAAGCATTAATTACTTCCCTTTCACCCCATTGGTGAGGGAAATTCCTGCCTTGGCCTTATGGGAATGGCTGAATACATGACACCTGACATGACAGATGAGATTGAGAGCAGTTTATTAGTCACATATACTCACAGCCCAGGAGAAGATGACATTGTACACCATTAAAGGGCCAAATGGAGGTTATACTCAGGAACACAGTGAACAATCAGTAGCTGTAAGAAGCAGGCTTTGTAGTTTCAAAAGGGTTGAGTGCTTCCTTGGTTCCTATGGGAGGATTTAATTGGCTTGTTTGAATACTTCTACGGATTGGTAGGGAACTGAAACCACTCAGGGATAATCAGGAACTATACCTGATCTGTTTGATAAGGAGGGTTTTTTGACTTGGGGACCTTATCTGTGTGAGAAGAATGGGGAGGAGAACTTGTGGTTAGGTAATTCCAGGCCCTCCTGTTTTTACTAGATGTGAAGGCAGCGTAAAATGTTATTTTTAGGTCTTATACCATAAGCATTCAGTAATTCATTATTAAGAATAATGTTATCTATCTTCTTGCTGAAAAGACCTCTATAATTATGTGATGTCCTCTTTAAACTTTTTAGCAATATATTCTGTTCTGAAGTCTACTTTGATATTAATCTAGCCTTCTTTGGATAAGTGTTTGTACAGTCTGTTTTTTCTTCTGTTTATTTTAACCCATATATACCTTTATATTTATAGTGAATTTCTTGTATACAGCATAGAATTAGGTCTCGCTTCTTTTTTTTCCCCCAATTCACTCTGTCAATCTCTGCCTTTTAATTAGAGTGTTTAGACCTGTGCTTTCCAATATGGTAGCTGCCGGCCATATGTGTCTTCTGAGCACTTGAAATGTGGCTAATTCAGATTGAAACATGCTATGAGTGTAAAACACAAACCTGATTTTAAAGACACAGTATGAAAATGTATATAAAATATCTCATTATAATGTTTTGACCAGGTGTGGTGGCTCACGCATATCCCAGCACTTTGGAAGGCCGAATCACTTGACGTCAGAAGTTTGAGACCAGATGGCCAACATGGTAAAATCCAGATTCTACTAAAAAAAAAAATACAAAAATTAGCTGGGGATGGTGGTCCATGCTTGTAGTCCCAGCTACTCAGCAGGCTGAGGCGGGAGAATCACTTGAACCAGTGAAGCAGAGGTTGCAGTGAGCCGAGATCGTGCCACTGCACTCCAGCCTCAGTGACAGAGATTATGTCTCAAAACAAACAAACAAACAAAAAACAAACAAAACTGTTTGTTAAATATTTCTGAAGGACATAGAAGACTTAAACAGATTTTAAGACATATCATGTACCTGGATAAAAGAACTCAGTATCATAAAGATGTCATTTCTCCCTAAATTAATCTATAAATTTACCACAATTCTAATAAAATAACAGCAACATTATTACTTTTTCTTTCTTTCGTTTTTTGCAATTAGGCAAGCTGATTTAAAATTTTACATGGAAAGAGTAAACAACAATAGCCTGTTTATTGAAGGGCAGAATAACAAGTATGTCCTAAGAACATAAATATTGGATGTGGTATGATTAAGTGGGTGTGGCCACAGGAGTAAACAAGAACAAGGCTCGGAAAGAAGTTTATGCCATGAAGGGTCACAGGGGAAACACCAGGTTTTGGTTTGATGTCAGAACACAGGAGCAAGGGGAAATCCTAGGCCAAAGCCTTTATTGGGATTTCTGTGAGAAATGTAAGGTATAGCAGAGTAAACATTTAGGATTGGCTATTTTGAATATTTCTGGTGGGCTGTGCCTATAGATGCCCATCAGGGGGATCTCTCTTTGGTGCTCCTCCATTTTGCTGAGCATGCCTGTGTCATTGCTCTTACCACATTGTTTAGAAATTAATTGTAAACTGAATTTGTGCACGTTAATCCTTTCTTTCTAGTTAGTTTGTAAACTTCAAAGGCATGGTATTTTTGGTCTGAAAATTACATGAGATAACATAGATGAATTTCCTAGCATAGTTTCAGTCTTTCCTGAGTCTGCTACTTTCTGCCTGAAACTTTGTATAAGTCACTTAAACTCTGTGAGCCTCAATTTCGTCTTCTGTACAAGAGGCTGATATTAATACCAATATCATAATGCTGCTCTGGGAATGAAATGAGTTTGTGCATGTAAAAATATGATTATAAATTACATATGTATCTCATTCCATTCTGCATCTAACTTACTGGCCAGGCACATGGAAGGTATCATTTTAGTAAATGTTTATGGAGGGAGTGGGTGAATCCTACAGGGTGTATTTTGCTTGAAAGAAGGCACCCTTGTTGTGGGTGGGTGTTTTCTGTGGAGACAGAAATCATAGGAGGTCTCTGGGGGAGACAGACCTCCCAGGGACATATGAATGGTAGCATGGGGAAACCAATTCCCAGGAGCCCATGTGGGGGATATTTTCCCCCCAATTCCCATGCTGTGTTATTTCACACAACAAAAGGGAAGTCTCTGAGGACTCCAGCAGTAGTGAAGAAGTCTATACTCCCTCCTGCACTGCTTCCTGAGGAATAGCTGACATAGAGGAGAACTGAACTTGGTCCTGTCAGCAAGCTGGTTTTCCCGGCTTTTCATCTCCTCTGCCCAGTAGGCATTTGTCTATCAATTTTGATGAACAAAACTTTCTGCAGTGATGGAAATGTTCTATACATATGTTGTCCAACATGGTAGCCAGTAGCTACATGTAGGTATTGAGCACTTGAAAAGTGGCTACTCTGATTAAATAACTGAGTTCTAAATTTTACTTAAAATTTAAATTGACCAATGTGGTTCAATTTAATAGTGTTATGTTTGTCTCTTTATCCTCAGCATCTGCACAGAGCCTGGCTCAGAAGAGGCATGGGAGATGTTTGCTTAAGTGAATTATTCTAAACCATGCTAGATTCTTTTATTGGCTGGATTTATACTCATCAAATGCATTTTCATTCATCGCCCTATTTGTGTCTTAGCGCAACTCTTTGTGGTAGGCAGGACCTTTGTCTGTTTGTTGGAAGAGGAAACTGAGGCTCAATGAGTTTAAATGATTTGCCCAAGGTTATAAAGCTATAACGTCAGTCTGAGTAGAACCCACATCTTTCTCTTTATTTTCCATCTCCCTATACTTAATGTAGTTCTTTTGTTCTTCTTAGCCCTTATTGACTCCTCCGACACCGACATTCCCACAACCCTCACAGCCTTTATATAAGTGTCATTAGGACTGTGGAAACCACATATATATTCATCTTGATAGTTGTGTGGACATGGCTTGTGAATTTTAAACTGTTCAAATGTGAGAGATAATTCTGATAGATATTTTCATGTAACTTTCCTTACAAGATTCTTATCCCTGATTTTAATGCAGATGAATGGATAGTTCCATGCATGTGGCCAGTATCTTACTTAGAAGGCATTCTGGTCTGTCTCTGCATTTCTGCCTCAAGGCTTTCTCTCAAACTCTAGAAGTCTGCTCAGCCCTGGCAAGCATAACCAGGAAATATGAGAGAGTTCAAGCTGGAAGGTGGAGAGTAACCCTCAACCAACGGAGACAGAAATTAGGACATAAATGCCCCAGCCTCCGTGTTCTTCAGTGGGACAATGGCAGGCACACATTCTGCCCTGTTTTTCAGAGTCTTCAGCAAGATTAAAAATAGTTGTCTACTAAAGCAATCAACTCAACAACACATTTTTCTTAGCATTTTTCCCCCTTCCGTCTTTCACTCTCTCCACCTCACTTCCTTTCAGATTACCACCATGTTCCATTCAGCAGACATTGACTGACATCCTATTTTGTGTCATGCACCACGCTGCACTGTGGTGTATACAAAGATAAGAGATCAACCCTAGGTATCAGAGAGCTCATGGTCAGAAGGAAACAATGCATAAAGCATTTGGAATACAGGGCATATACAGGGGATTGTGGGAGGCCAGAGCTGGTCAGGAGAGGTAATGTTCTAGCTTGGTCTTAGAAGATAATGGCGTGTCACTACTGAAAGGTGGGAAAGAGCATCCCATATTTACTGAAAAATACATCAGCAAAAGGATAAGTCTTTTCTGGGGTTGAGGGTTGCTGCTGTCGCAGAGGGGCAAGGAGCCAGAACCCTTTGGGCCTCTGTGTGTTTGGGCTGGGGTGGGCACACAGTTGGTTTTCAGTGCATTTCAGTTGAAGACAAGTAACCCAGGCAAGCCAAGGGGAGAAGCTTTGGGAAATCAAGAAACCTGTCCCAAGTCCCCAAAGTTGAGCACCAACCACAGAAAAGCCAGTTTAGCTAGTCTGGGCGGTCAGTACGAGGACCCCGGTCGCCAGAAGGAAAGTGCCATCCCTACAGACCTAGCCCCTGCGCTCTAGGGGTGGCGGAGCCTGCTCACTTGCCAGGATGCGGTGCCTAGGTTGCGGAGGGGCAGCGCCGCGGAGCCCTGGTCCCGGCTAAGGCCCGGGCTCGCGCCGCGGGGGCGGGGCCTTGGACGCACGCTCCTCCCAGGCGTCCCTCCCGCCCTCAGCCGCGCTCTGGCCGCCCGCGCGCCGGCCGCCCGTTGCCCTGGCAACCGTCGTGCCGCGTCTTCCTGAGGGAGCTCCTGTCAGCCCACTGATCCCACCACCCGCTCCCTACTGCCCCGCGGTCTTCGCGTGGGCTCGGAGGCTGAGGGACAACAAAAATGGCGGAGGGGAGCCAGACGGCGCCTGAAGCAGGTCTGTGGGGGCGGTCGATCTGGGGAAGGCTGAGGCGGCCAGGCTGTCCTGGGTCTCAGGGAAGAGGGGACTCGGGCATTGTCCTACTCCTGAGGAGGCGCCGCTGTATATTTGCGCGGTGGGTTATGACCTCAGGGTCAGGGGTCAAGGGTGGCGTGTACCCCTCTGAATGGCAGTCAGGGACCTCGAAGTCAGGGTGGTGGAGGGGAGTGTGGGGGAGTGTGCACACTTCTGAGAGAGCGTGGACCCGGAAGGGGCTGGGACCCGAGGGAAGACACAGGACCCTAATCCTGGGATCACCTGTGGTGAAGGCTAATCCTAGGGCTAGGCGTGTCATGGAAAGGGTGTACACAGCCCTGTGGGAGCATGGGAGAGATCCCTTAAGGGGCATGATTTGGGCTAGGGGTGGGAGTAGGAGGCTCTGACTCTAAAGAGGGAGGTATACGTGGAAGGTGTGTTACTTTAATATCAGACAGTGCCTTGGAAAGGAGAGTTAGAGTATTTGTGTTTGGGGATGTGCGGTGTCCTCAGGGTCACCCCTGGTCACAGAGAAATTTATGCAAATAATCCTTGTATAGGTCCTTAAAAAGACAAGAGGCCTTGAGGGGATACCCAGAGCCCCAGTCCTTTAGGAGCCTAGCAAAGGAGGCTGGAGCCTGAGTGTGAGAGTATGTGGGTTCAGTGATCTTGAAGGTCATTCAGAATCAAAAGAGTGCATGTCCACACTTCTGTGGGTGGAACATAGCCTTTAAGGGACAGGGAGACTGACAAGAAGGGAGACCCAGGATCCTCTTCCTGAGGGGACCTCTTGTGCATATGGCTGGGCTTTGTGAGATACTGACTTTAAGTGTCTCACAGGGTCATAGAAGAAAGCAAAGGTTTTTCCAGTTTTGAGTATATGGGAGGGAGTTTGACTCTAAATGAGGCTGACCACTGAAGACCTGGATGTTATGGAATGACATGGGTGTGTGGGTAGAAAATCAGTGGCTTTGGGGATATGTGTGTGATGGGTATTGGCAGTGGTATACATAACCTTGTATATGTGTCCTGATCGGGTATTATCATTACAAGAGTGATCCACTTGAATTACTTCGTCCTGGGGTGTGTGTGTGTGTGTGTGTGTGTGTGTGTGGTTATGGTACATACACACACCAGAAAATGGAACTGAAAACTATGGCACCCTCAGAAATGGTTCAAGGAACCATTATCTCTCAAGACCTTCATTATTTCCCTTTCTTTCATGGCATCTCTGTTTTATTGAGTAGCTCCTATACTCATTTTATAGTTTTAGCTCCCTCATAACTTGAACATGCTCATTCCTTTATTCATTCATCCACTCAACAAATATTATTGAGTGCTAACTATATGCCAGGCAATAAGTTAGGCACTGGGAATTTCCCTGCTTTGGATTAGCTTACCTTGTCCTTTTTTCCTTTTTTTCTCATAGCATTTATTGCCTTTGAACATACTATTTAATTTACTTGCTTGTATTACTTATTTCCTGTCTCCTTCCACTACAATGTAAGCTCTACAAGGGCGTTGTTTTATCAATACCACCTGTCTAGAACTAAGTGTTTAGTATGTTCTCTATAAATATTTCTTAAATGAATAACTGAATTACTAATATTGTCTGTAAGTGATATTTTAGCTGACATATGATGGGGATTGGATAATTGAAAAAAAGGGCAAACAGTAGTCCAGGCAGCAGGAAAACCATGTGTAAAGAACCCAAGACAGGGCCGGACGTGGTGGCTCACTACGCCTGTAATCCTAGCACTTTGGGAGGCCGAGGCGGGTGGATCACAAGGTCAGGAGATCAAGACCATCCTGGCTCACATGGTGAAATCCCGTCTCTACTAAAAATACAAAAAATTAGCCAGGTGTGGTGGCATACACCTGTAGTTCCAGCTACTTGGGAGGCTGAGGCAGGAGAATCGCTTGAACCTGGGAGGCAGAGGTTGCAGTGAGCCAAGATCGCGCCACTGCACTCCAGCCTGGGCGAGAGAGTGAGACTCCGTCTCAAAAAACAAAACAAAACAAAACAACAACAAAAAAACCCAAGACTGGTGGAAACATGTTATGCTGTGTTTAAGGAACTGAAAGGAGACAAGTGTGGGTACATGTGGGGCAATGGGAAGAGAGAAGAGGTATGCTGAAGCCAGATCTTCCAGTATTTTGTAGACTATGATATGAATTTGGGTCAGAAATCTTAAGAATAATGGGAAGCCATCGAAGGCTTTTAAATGGAAGCATGCCATGATTAGAATAATTAAAAAACAACTCTGGCTACAATGTGGAGAGTACAGAGGATACAAGAGTCGATATAGGATATACTCTTCACCAGCTACAGTGAGGAGAGTACAGAGGATACAAGAGTGCATACAAAGAGACCTTGGAAGGTAGCAGTGGAGATGAAGAGAAGGAATTGAGAAATACTTAGGAGCTACAATTAATAGGACTTAGTGAAATATGAGGATGATGGAGAAGGAAGTATCAAAGACTACTTCTCATTTTCTAATTTGTGCAACTGGATAGTTAGTGGTGCCATTACTGGGATAGGGAGCATTGGAAGGGGCTTTGGGTAGGTGTGAGAGGAAAGATCATGAATTTGTTTAGACTATGTGGAGATTGAGGTATCTTTAGGACATCCAAATAAGTGGAGAGATTGACAAGCTGGTTGTATTTACAAGAAAAGTAGAAACTGGCATAGAGATAATTATTTTGACATAGAAATAATTACTCAAGCCATGGGTGTGGATGAAATTTCCTAGAGGGAGAAGAGGCCTGGGATGAAGTGTTGAGTAGCTGCAGTATTTCAGTGCCTCCCAAAGAGACTGAGAAGGTTCAACTGGAGAGATTAGAGCACAACCAAAGGAATGTTTCAAGAGAAACGAAATACTCAGTAGACTGAATACTGCCAAGCAATACAAAATGAAGGCTAAAAAACTAGATTTAGCAACAGAGAGGTCATTGGTAACATTGACGGTAGAAAACTGGTGATGGTAAAAAGACAGGTCATTTAGGCGAATAAATGCCTCAGTCTTTGTTTAATTCAAATTTCTGAGAGAGAGAATTTTATTGACCCTCCTTGTCTTTTACCACTAAATCGCTGTCCAGTTTCAGGATTGAGTGGTTTTAGATTAGGTGTGCAGCTATTGCTGGCTGGAGTCCCCCGATACAAAATATGGCCATCTGGTAATTTCTTATCTCACTTGAAATAGCCAACATTTATGAAGTGTTTGTTTTGTACCATGCATTGTACTAAGTGTTTTATACATTTTACTTCAGTCTCATAACAACTCTCTAAGTTGTCTAAGGTTTTCTCTGTGTTTTATATGTGGAGAAGTTTTGGCACAGAGAAGTTGACAACATAATTAAGATCTGCAAATAATTAGTGGAAGATTAGTTTTTTTTGACAATTTGAATATTATCCAGATTCATTATTTGGCTTTGTGTTTGTATTACAATATACCACTTTCTGAAGAAATCATAGCCATGATGAAAATTCCTGCCTTACAGGAAATATTCTAAACTAAGCATATTCTAATAAGGTGAAATGGAAAGAAATGGGCTCAGATCCTTGTATAAACCCTACTTCTGTGACTTACTATATGTGGACGTTGGACTCAAGTTTTCTGATCTTCAGTTTCCTCATTTGTAAAATGGGGATGATATTTGCAGGATATTTGTGAATATTAGATATCATGTACTTGAAGTGTCCAATAAATGTTATGTCCTTAGTTCACTTGAAGCTTGAATATAAAAAATTCAAATTTATTGCATATACTTTACATATAAAAGCAATTATATAAACATACAATGATGAATATAAGAAATTCTATTTTTTCTTCATTGGTTTTTCACTGCTTTGCTATCAGAAGAAAGACAGACATTAAGTTTTGGAGAATGTAGAATTATTACCTGAACTATGTGTCATAGGACTGATCTCTGTGTGAAGTAGATTTTGAGGAATTTCTTGGAGGAATGAAGGGACACTTAAGATATCTTATGCATGGTTTTATATGTAAAGTATATGCAATACATTTGAAATTTTTTATATCCAAGCTTTTTACAGAGCATGTAGATAGCTCTGTAAGAGGGTCAGATTTACAAAAGGAAGTTTCTTCTTTTAAATCTTGTGCTTTAAAATGGGGACACAAATGTCAGGACTTTTCTTTTTCCCTATAAATTTGATTATCAATACTAAAAAAAAGAAAACTTTACAGTTAGTTACATGTTGGAGTATTAGTCTCATGCAAGATTGCACCTGCTTCTTTTTCTTAGCTTCTTCTCCCTCTGTTGCAGCTATTATTAAAAAAAGCTTTTATTTTAATTACCTGGTAAAATAATTTGTTTTTCTATTTTGTCAAGTTATTTTGTGGAGGCCCTGGTAGACAAACATTTTTTTAAATGATGCAGTCTGTTAAAATGGACCTTAATCACTCTCTGTGAAATAAATGGGTCTATTTCAAAAAGCAGTTCTATATGAATCTGAAACCAATTATAGGCAGAATGTTGAAATTGTAAAAAGCCTTAGAAATGAGAATATTGTTTAATAGCTTGTGTTAGTGGTTGGACAAAGTAGTAGTTAAGCCTTTTTTGTTTTAGTTTCTGTATTTGTTAACTGGGGATGATAACAGCTACTTTTAAGGTGAGAATTAGAGATAAGTTATGGAAAGTATACAATGTCTTACACCCCCAAAGAAATGATATCTTAATTGGTGTGTGTGTGTGTGTGTGTGTGTGTGTGTGTGTGTGTGTGAGAGAGAGAGAGAGAGAAAAACAGAGAGAGAAAAATAATATATTTTTTCCTAAAGGCACAGTAGAAAATCACCTTTAAAAGAAGAGGAAATTCAGGTCTGCAGTCCCTTATCTGGCAGGTTTGGATGCAAATATATTTCAGAACTCAAATTTCTTTTTATTATGGAAAGGCAATACTGCATATGTACTGTCGATTACATAATACCCCCAATGGGGTATGAGATAGTACGGTGTAATCA